TTGAAGGAGCTGCCATAATGTCTAAAACTCGTTTGAAGCTGTCTTTAAGCCCCAATTGGAAGCAACCGTTGACTCGTCTGGACTTCGGGTACTTCACGTTTCGTGGTGAGAGGGACTCTGTCAAGAATACCCACACACTTTGCTTTTGTAGGCCTTTTCGGAAGCCTACATGCATATTCATGTCCTCTTCCCGAACATGAGAAATGAAGCTTGGTGTAAAAATTCTAGAAGAATGTTGGGTGCTGCTGCTCAAAAGACTTTCACCGACCGCCTCCTTATTCCGGCCATTCGACGTGTTCTGATTTGTTCTCGTGCAAATCGATCTGGTGGATCTTATGGCGAAAGCCATTGGTACTAGGATTTGCATATGACGGTGCCCAAATTTTTGCTTGGTTCGGAGCTTAAGGCTCTTAGTCAAGTCTATGCGTGATATTGCGAAGGAGAGCGCGGATTTGGCCCGAAATCGTCATTTTGTTTTTGTGGTTTCTTCTTTCGGGTTTAAAAGCCCAATTTATGGTCCGGACTACACGTCCATTCTTGATACCATGGTCGACTGGTCCCAACTTGACCCTCAAAGATGCCTTATCGACATTGGCTTGAATCTGTTTGCCCAATCCGAGGATGGCCGACCATTGGTATTGTATGTAAAAGAGGAAAAAGTCGAAGCTATGGGAAAATTTTTTGGAGGTCCATCCATAAAGACCGATTTTTACGGAATGTCTTTGGGTTATTTTGGTGGCTTTTCGGGGAAAGGTCGTTCCGGTAGTCTTTTTACGCCTTCGAAAGTAATGGTATATAATGATATCAAGTATCCGTTCACGATGTCCAATCCTGGTGTAAACGGAAAGGTATCCGGTCCATGGATACCCGAGGAAATGAGAAATACCTTTCGACATCTTTTAAAGAATATGGTATGCAATACATTTAATATAAATTTTCCCATATATTTACTTCAAAAATTGTAATAGAGATGGTATAATGCCCGTGTTTCCGAATACCAAGGCCACCAGTTTACTACTCGTTTGGAGGTTCGTGTCCCGGCGATCTCGGCTACTACGGCTTACGTCGACGTCTTGGTCGCAAAGTTGAAGTAAGTTTTTCTACAGGCAACTCCTTTTAGATACTTTATTAATTATTCTGCTTTTAATGATAGGTCTTCTTTTGCTGATAAAGCCTTCATCCATATAGATTCGGGAATTTACCTTCAGTACGTTGGTCTCATGGCAAATTTTCTAAGTGACTTGGCAGAAAAATGTCTTGGTTCCGTTTTGTTGCAGTCGTTCTCCGGGTTGTATCTCTCCGCGTACATGCTAAATAACTTGATGCATTCTGATCAATCTTTAACCGACTCTTCAAATTTCGTATCATCAAGCAGATGTGATAAAAACAGGTTGTGTTTTTTGCCTGGTGCGTTTGCTGTCGATGGCGACAGAGTCATGTTTGGGCACACATTCGATTCTACTTGTATTCAACAGGCATTTTTCCGACTGCGCACACAAAATTTAAACACCTTCTAGGTAACCACCATTCCTTGTAGAGCAATTTAACACGAGTAGTTGTAAATCAACTTTATAAGCTCAAATTTAAGCACAAAGCAATTTTAAAAATATAGTACTTTTTTATATACGGCAATATATATCTTTTCCCCCCTGCGGCATTAAAAAATGTTTAAACTCCTTTGAGGTCTCACAAAATAATGTGGACCGGTCGGCACTTCTACATTCAGAAATCCCTTAAATTAGGTTAAATAATACTATTATGCCATGAATATGGTAAGGGTTTCAACGCAGCAAAAGTCATAAACATATTTAACAATTAGTAACTGTTGTTCCAAATATCGAAAGAATATTTTCTAAAAATCCAAAATTCCGTATAGAATTAACCACGATCTGCTAAACGTTTTAGAAGACTTTTAGGCACACAAATGCTCTTTTAATCTTTCTCGAAATTTTTATTTTAAAAAAATCAATAAAGCAACATTTTGACATATCGAATTCTCTACTCAAATATGGATATTTCAATTGCAGTTTGACCGTAAAGATTAACGGATGGGAACTTTGATAATTACTTACCACCGTGACGACGCGACAGAAAACAAGCAACTAGTGTTCAGCGAGGGTAGTTGAACCAAGAAGAACCAGGATCTGGATCTTCTGGAATGTTTGATAATGGGTGACACAACGTGTCAATCATCCAAAGCAAGGATAACAGTTTCGGCCAAAAGGCGGGAGGTTTGTGATTTTTCTTGGTGGGTAAAGAATTCAGAGCAAAATCAATACGGTGAACACCAGGAGGAGGGACAGGAAGAGAATCAATCAAGTCGGCGTCAATAGCACGACAAGTGAGAAAATGATCACGAGTTATGATTTGACCAAAGTCAGCACAAGGACATTCGTATCTTTCCATGGCAGTAAATCGACCAAGACGCCATCTTACCAAACGACTACGAGCGGAATTATTCATAGGGAGGTAGAGGATGGGGTCAGGAACAGAGGTGGATGGGCGACAAGCGCGAAGGAGGACATTTTTACCAGTAGTGGCGTGATGGGCTCTTTGATCGTCACAAAAATTCTGCCAATAATCACGATAGTGATTACGGAGATGGATTGGAGAAGTTGGTATAGGATCAGGGAGAGAGGTATAAAGAGCATTGGTTTCTAATTTGTTGCCAAGTCTTGTTTGAGAGAGAGATTCTTGGAGGAGGATGAGGAGAGAATCTTCTGGAAGGTTGGCAGAGCGTAGCACGTATTTAGTAACCAAGGTATTATAGCGGTGGAGCATACCAGGGAGACAAGTGATGTGTTTAGCAACTGTTGTATGTTTACTACCTACGAACATTGACACAAGTGAATTTTGTAGGGTGTCTAATTTACTCATTTCACGGGCTGTGAAACAAGAAATAGCCAACCCATACTCAATTTTTGGTCGAATGAACGTTTTGTATAGGCGTGCGGAGAGAAGGAGAGAAAAACCATTACGGTGTACACCGATAGAGGTAAGGAGAGACATGGTTTTTTTGGCTTTGGAGGATCGAGCTTCAATACTTTTACCGGCATTTAAACCTTTTTTAGTAAATTCCATACCCAGGTAACAGAACTGATCAACAGTGGGAATGGGTTCACCATAAAGAGAAAAGGCAAAATTGGGAGTTAGAGAGGAGCGAGGAGAAGGAGCGTTTAAAATGGCACATTTGGAAGGAGACCATCTGTAACCAAGTTTGAGAGAGTGATCGCCAGCGATCTGCAGCATTTTTTCAACTTCATCTTTTGTTCCAAAAATGGCAACATCATCAGCAAAGAGAAGAGAATTAATAGCTACAGGTTCATCATCGTCGAGACCGAACACAGTAGGAGTAGAATCAGAGGCAGCGCTACGCAATACACCAGGAAGAGAATCAATATACAGAGAGTATAAATGAGGACTAAGCACAGAGCCTTGCAACAAACCAGTGATGGGAGTGAATGGATCTGATCTATGATTGGCCAGCAATACAGAGATAGAAACGTCATCAAACATATGGATGAGCAGGTTGAGCAGAGGAACAGGAAAAGAGGATTTTGAGGCAAGGATATTCCAGACTACACGACGATCCACCGTATCGTAAGCTTGTTTGATATCCAGAAAGGCAACAGAAGGAAAATGATAATGCTTGTTAAAGTAATCATGCATAAGATCATGCAGACACAAAGCTTGGTCAAGAGGACTACGCTGTTTACGAAAACCACCTTGGGCGTGATCAAGAGCGGGAGATAGTTCTGTAACATGTGAGACTATAGTCATTTCAAATAATTTTCGAAGAACAGAAGTGAGTGAAATGGGTCTATAGTTAGCGGGGTCAGTACGATCACCTTTTTTAAAAATTGGAAACACAGTAGCCTGACGCCATAAAGACGGTGTGTTGGACCACTGGTAACAAAGAGTAAAATAAAGTTTGAAAAAAGGAGCGAGGATGTCAATGACAGGCTTGAGCATTTCGGCTTTGATGTGATCTGGGCCTGGAGCTTTGTTGTTCGGTAATTCCTTGATACGCCACGATATAACATCATCATCCAAAAAAAACCGACCTCCGGCCGGTTTTTTAGGCGTTCTTCAGACTGCCGATCGGGACCTGCGGCCCTCTCGTGTGACTGACGTTTTAGCTTATTTGCCGATCGGGACCTGCGGCCCTCTCTAAGACTGAATGAATTAAGTTTTTATTGTTTATCAAAATTATTTTAAAAGTTTTATCCATAAGGGCTCGTGATAGCTTGTAAACGATACATATTTGCCTGAATCAATCACTTGGTTGCTGGTAAAAATATTATCGATAAATGTGTTTTTTTTTGTTGTGGATGTAACTGTATCCATTAAAGGTGATGTCAAATTATATTGACTCAGGAGGTTTACCATGCTTGATTTTTTTGAAGAATAAGATGCAAAATCCACATTAAAATCCCCACCAATAGTAACTGATCCATGAGGGTGGTCCAAAATGAATTGCAAAGCTTCTAATATTATATCGGTCGAAGCATTTGGTGAGCAGTAAACACTGCAATAAACTACTATCAATGACCACAAGCGAAACACTGACTGAGCAATTTCTATCTTGAAAGTATTTACTATCAGAAGTATACGTGCGATTGTTTAAAAAGGTGTTATTATGAAACAACACGATCCAACTGGTTTTAGGATTTCCGGTTTGACCATCCTGTCTTGATGCTAAAATAAAATTGTCTAGTTCAAAAACTTCATTGTTAGGCAAAGTCCATGTTTCACAGAGCAGAATGATATCAGAATTTATATACACTTGATCTCTTTGTATTTGGTCGATATGGGCTCGTAAACTTTGGACGTTGTGTGACAAAATTTGTATGATTGATTCGTCTTTTACAGTCAACTTATCAAATAAAGGAACGAATTTGAAAGTATCATGTCTTTCTAATTCATTTCGCAACGAAGAAGCACCATTATCTCTGGCCAAAGAAGAAGGACGAACAAATTTGTTTTTTTTGCAAATCAACACCAAACCTTTAGCGGAAGTTGCTCTGGAACAAGCAACGTACTTTAACGAACGGCTCATTGTTCTTCTACCACAATCATTAACTACTACACCTGGATACGTACCACCCTGCGATTTATGCACAGTCATGGCTTCGGCAGGAACAATTGGAAATTGGGTCCTGTTTAGCTTGATGTGCGACTTCAAGTTTCGACGAATAATCAAGGTGCTTGGTTCAACACAGGTCCATAAGTTTGGAAGACCCAACGTTAATCTCAGTGTTACTTGTTTATTACGAAGAGCTCTTCCACTTCTCTCATCATCGAACAGAATCCAAACACGGATCGGTTTTCTTACCGTAGTATTGGCGTTAGATTTCAATCTACCGTAATAAATTCGTTTCAAAACACCAATGACTTCATTTACTAAGCCATCAGACGTATCGATGTTAACTGTCATCATATACTGTGCATCGACTTTCAGTATGATCTTTTTTGGTAATCCACGAGTTTCACTCAATGATGCATCTTCTCTTGCTGAATGGAGCATCTGATTGACAGCGGTTTGACTTCTACAGTCACCGAGCACACGATCGTAGGCCGTGGAAACAGCCCCCTCGGTATCCATACTATTTAAAATGATATCATTGGTTGCCTTTACATTTCTGTTTGCATGGAATAGATTGATCGATTTAATTTCGCTGGGGGGAGGCAGAACTATTTTACCCTCCTCTAATAACTTCAATTGTTGTTCATCTAGCACCGCAACACAACTTTGGAACAAGGCTATATCAACCGGTGTCATTGAACCAGTGGCCAAGTTGTTCAGGGCAACAGCAAACGGAACATCATCACGTTGGCGCATAATTTCGATTAATTTGTGTACTTTGAATAAAGACCAAAGATCAAATCCAAATAACGAAGAAATTGTTAAAGTTGTGTCGGAGGCAAAGACCGAAGAACCACCCACAGGTGGTAGTTGTAAAAAGTCACCAAAAACAATAACACTTATACCTCCAAAAGGGATTGATGGTTCGAACATGTCTCGTAAACGCTTATCAATCCATCCAAAATGCTTTTTGCTGACCATGCTTATTTCGTCAATGATGACAAAGCGAAGATCTTTTAATGCAGCTGCCATAGAGTGACCGACATCAGCAGACAATTGATTGATACATTTATCACCATTTTGGGATATGGGAAATTGGAATGCGCTATGTAGCGTCTGTCCTTGTATGTTGAATGCAGCTCTACCAGTTGGTGCAGTAAGAAGAACAGAAGGAGTTGACATATCACGCTCCCTCCCAAAATCAAACTCTCGCAAAAGAGACTGGTAAATGGCACAGATAAGCTTACTTTTACCAGCACCAGCGCCACCAGTCACAAAATTGTAAACTGGAGAATAGGTATTGCTACCATCTCTCAGAACAAACTCGGCTTTGTTATATCTAACATGACCAATGAGACTAGTCAGGTATGACCTCTGCTTGAAATTTAGGGTCGCCATCAGATTGAAGTAATCAATATCAGGTAATACGTT